GGGGGGAAGGGACTTGGGAATTGTATACTAATGAAGGAATTTTTTTCCTTTTTTTTTTCTCTTCGGAGGGGGAAGCGAGCTGGTGGGGAGGGGTGGGAAGGGAGAAAATTGCAGCAATGAATGAATGGAAATCCAAAACCTCTGTAAAAAATAAAAAATTATAAAAAAAAGAACTATAAAAAAAAAAAGACTCTTACTCTAGGTATAATTTTCACCTGAGCACAATTAAGTGCTCTGGGATTCACATTCTTCTCAATGTAGCCATAATTTGTTATGATCCACAAGTCAAATGTCTCTGCATAATCAATAAAGTATATACAGGAAAAAAAATACTAGGTCCAATTCTTTCCTCTCTGGCAGCGTAAAGAGTACTGTGACCTTATCATGAGTGATTTCAGTTACATTCAGGCTGCAATTGAAGCTTGAGTGCTGCAAATTAAATAATGGCTATAAGGTTACAATGGACAGAGTGAAGAATTCTCATAGACTTAATAAGGAGCATTTCACAGGATAAGGAGGAAGATATACAACCACACCATGTCAAGAGCTGGCTAACTGGGTAACAGACACAGTTGTGGATGATGATGAGAAAGTGAATGTTTTCCAGTCTGCTGGCTTTGACTGCCTCTCCTCCTTGGGAGATGTGGTTGACTGCTAACCCCTCAGTGACTTGAGAAGACTTTCATCACTTAGGAGAAGAAGAGAAAGAACTCATCAAGGGCAGTGAGTGGATGATGAGTAGTTGTAAAAGTCTACCCAAGATGGGTTACTAAAAAGTCATGGAGATTTCACCCTCTCAACTTCATGAAGAAGGTAGAGTTGAATACTGGTGTTTTAATGAGGAATGCATTATATACAAATCATAGAAGATCTACCTTAAAAATACAGAAGTTTAGTTATGAGTATTTTCTAACCAGAAGTTTAAAGAAAGCAATCGAAGTCTTGGAGACTGTGTCTTTATGAACCCAGGATCCTTTCTCTTGTCTTCAATTCTTAGTGTGGCTCTTGACTCTGTGATCACATTATCACCATTGAACTTTTGGACTTCACACCCACACCCCAGGCAATGGAGAAGGCAGTGTAAAACTTGTTGTTGTTATGAGTCACCTGCAATTCGTAGTGGCCCTATGTACCAAAGCCCTAAACCCTGCTCTGACCTGTGTCAATCTTATTGTCTCTGACACACCTAACCCCATTACTCCAGTCACTGAATCAATCCACCTCATCAAGAATCTTCCTCTCCTGCACTATTCCTCCATCCTCCCAAGCATGACGTCTCTCTTTAAGGACTGGTCCTACCTTGCAACATGTCCAAAGTATGTCAGACAAAGTTTCAGAATCCTTACGTCCAAGGAGCAATCTGATCTCACCCTTGGTAGGATGAACTTGTTTGTTTTCCTAGCTATCCATGGTATATTCAATACTCTTCTCCAGCACCACAGCTCAAAGGCATCAACTCTCCTTCTATCATCCCTAGTCATTGTCCACCTCTCTGATGCATAGCAAGTAATTATGAAGACCATGGCCTGGATCAAGCACACTTTAGTCTCTAGACTGACATTGTTGCTCTTCAGTACTTTGGAGAGGTCTCTGACAGCAGACTCTCCCAGTGCAATTTGTCTTTTTTATTTCCTGGCTGCTTTTTTATTTCCTGTGTTGATTGTGGAGCCAGGCAAACTGAAGCTGTTAACAATCTCAGTCGCTTCACCATCTATCATGATGCTGCCAATCGGCCCAGTGGTTAGAATCCTTGTTTTCTTGATGTTGAGTTTCAAGACATTCTTTAAATCCTGTGCTCAAGAAGAGACATTCTCTCCAGAGATTATTGTTTCATTGATCATAACTGTAGTATATAACTCCTTAGATTTCAAAAAGACAAGGAAACCAAGTATTTAAGTTTCCATCTACTATGTAATTACTAATAATGTTATCATATTTTGTCATTTACCAAGTCTACTTTAGCTATATCATGTCATTTCACCAATAAATTTCATTGTGATTTTTAATATTGCCAAATCTCTTCTACAGATGAGGAAAATAAGGACTAGATATGTTAAGAAACATCATTCATAATTGGTTGCAAGGCAGTGTAGGGAAATGGTTAAGACATTAGGTATGAGACCAGACTGCCTGAGTGTAAATCAGGGCTTTGCATTAAGTCAAAATGATTCAGTCATGCCTGACAAAATGTAAATGTTGCTTAGAAAGCAACTGTCTTGCACTTTCAATTCTAACCTGGGTAAGAAAGAGAAAACTTTGTTCTGTTAGCAGTGGTAACTGTTGTTGTTTTTGTTGTTGTTGCTTGCTTGCCTTTGAGTCTAGCATGACTCATAGCGACCCTATGAACAAAAGATGTGAAGCCCCTCTACAACTTTCAACATTTATCAAAGTTCATCGAGTTTCCAGAGGCATGTTGTTTATTAAGTGGAGGCCACTCCTGCTTTACATTCAAAACGTTGGCTGCCATCTTGGAGTTGGGCATTGCTGCCTGTTTTCTGCTCTGGTCAAAGGCCAGTGCCTAGAGATTTGGTTGTGATGTAAGTCATACTTTCCTTCAGCTTTGACTGAATTGGTTTGAAGATCCAGTTTAAATCCCGGATTATCATTGCTTACTAATTATGTAAGCAGGGCAAGTTATATC